AAACGTCTGCGAAACAAGAAACCAGCTCGGCAAGCCAATCAACTTCAACAACCTCAACAGAATGAGAAGTAATCTCATTGAAACAAATCAAACTCTTAAGGGGCTTGACAGGGTAAATGCTGAGAGGATGTTCCCCCTCATCGGAGAGTCCAGAAACAGAGGGCCTAGTTTCAGAATAAAGGAGCCCTAGTTTGACACTGAGATGAGATGAGGAGGAATTTCTTCTCTCTAAAGGTGGTGAGTCTTTGGAAATACTTGGCACAGAAAGATGTGGGGCAGAGTCCTTGTGTATATTTAAGGTTTGATCACTGGATAATCAAGGGTTGTGGAGAAAGGGCAGGAAAGTGGATGTGAAGAATGTTGGATCAGCCATGATTCTATTGATTAGTGGTGCAGGCTCAAGGGGCCGAATGGCCTAATGTTCCTATGGTCTTATATTGCTGGAGCAGATAGGACTTGAACCTCGGCCTTCTGGCCCAGGGGTAGGGATACTGCCATTACCCCACAAGAGCCCAAGTTCTGTAATTAATATTATATTTTCAAATCAACCTGTGTAAAGATGTTATTACACACCTGTGGATCTGATGGGATTTGAACCCAGGTCTCCTAACTCGGTGAAAGGGACTCTACCACTGTGCCACAACAGCACCTAAGTTAAGTGATCTATACACGCTGGATCTATTGTTCACAGCTTGATATTATTTACTTGAAGGTACAAACCACTGTCAACAAGTTCTTCAGCTATTGTCTCAGGCTGTTTACTTTGTGGATGTTTCTTCCAAATATAAAATGAGTGAAGAATCCATGCTCTGGTGGTCTTGTTTCAAAGGCACTTTATTTTTAATATTACTTGGAGGATTTAAGTTTTGAAGGATGGTGTGCATGTGTGTATGTGTTTACATGTATGGTCTGGGGATATTTTGAGAGATAAGCATTTATATTTCTCTATTACTAATGGTATGTTCATCAAGTGTCACACTTTTTTATTGAACACATTTTATTTTGATTATAATAAATACAATAATGGGTTTTAACGACCTCAGTGATTAGATCCTTCTGTATAAAACTATTTGAGATAAGGTAATTAGTTAGCCACCTTGGTAACTGGAAAAAGTATTTTATCCTGTGAACTACTGAGTAGTGAGAGTAACAGTGCATTCCTCAACCCTTGGTTATAACAATATAGAATAAACAAATTTCAGCAGATGATATCTCACAACTACCTTATCCAGCTCTTGCTTTTATCATTACCTTAAAATATAATTCTATCCATTAACTCCATCTACACTTCGCACTGAATTGGGAAACTAACATAATCAAAGACTCCTCCTGCCCTGGTTATACTCTCTTCCACCCTCTTCTGTCAAGCAGAAGATATAAAAGTTTAAATATACATATGAACAGGTTTAAGAACAGCTTCTTCCCCACTGTTATCAGAGTTTTGAACAGACCTGTCAAATGTTCATTTTGATCTCTGTCTGCACCTTTTCTATGGCTGTAACACTGTATTCTGTACTCTGTTCTGCTACCCTGATGCACTTTGTATGGTACAATCTGCCTGTATTGCATGCAAAACAATACTTTTCACTGTATCTCAGTACGTGTGACCACAATATATCAATCAAATATTTCAGAAGGAGAAGTATGGGATAACATTGGGGAAGGAAACAAGTTACAGGAGAGAAAATCAAGTGCTGTGGTATTTTTGGTAATTCAAACTAAAATGATTCTGTTAGTTTTTTCTCTTTTTTGATGACACTAGGCTGTGAGACGAAAAGTGCACATTTACTGACCAATTAAGCTGATGAGCAAACAGTTTCGAGTGAAAGTATATACAGTGAAGGATGATCATCAATTAAAATGCAAAAAGATTTCTTTGGGATACTAAACATTCACCAAATGTTTGACGTCAAGGTAGATGTCTCTCAACAGACTTGTCAGGCACTAGGAAGTGTGTCAAGGACAAAAGTTAATTTGCTGCACTCAATTCTAACTTAAGATAAGGTTGGTTACCTGCCTGCTCTTTCTCCTGAGTTAGAGGCTGCAAATTCAATCTTCAGTCCAATCCTTTAAACTCCTGCTACCATAATGCTACGGCAAGTGAGTGCGTCTTCATATGCATCTGGGGCAGAAAGCCAAATAACCACATTCGAGCCTGTATCACGCCATACCTATTTTTGATTGGTCACCCTCTCATAGAGTTACTGAGTCAAACAGCACAGAAACAGACCCTTTGGTCCAACTCGTCATTGCTGACCAGGCATCCCAGTCTGATATTGTCCCATTTGCCAGCATTTGGCCCGTATCCCTCTAAATCCTTCTTATTCATATATCCATCCAGATGCCTTCTAAATGTTGTTATTGTACCCATCTCTAGCACCTCCTCTGGCAGCTAATTCCATATATACACCACCCTCTGCATGAAAACGTTACCCTCAGGTCATTTTTAAATTGTTCTCCTCTCACCTTAAACCTGGCCCTCTAGTTTTGGACTCCCCCACCCCAGGGAAAAGACCTTGGCTATTCACCCTGTCCATGTCTCTCATGATTTTATAAACCTCTATAACGTCACCCTCAAATGCCATAGAATGTAACCAATTGCAGAGCGTCTAGTAAGAGAATACAGCGAATCCATGGATGCAATTGTCATAAAAAGAGAATGCCGGAGAAACAGAGGCCTGGCAGTGGAGAGAGAAACAGTTAATGTTTTAGATCCAATAATGACTCATCTTTGGATTTGAAATTTGTAAACTGGCTGAGATTTTGAATTTGGAAAATGCCCATTAATTTCAGTGCAGGAATGGGAAGTGAAATTCCACTTTACTGAATAATTTTAAAATCCCAATTCATATTCTACTTCTGGTGTCACATATTGTTGCCATTATTTTACATAGAAGTTTCATTTCTGAAGCAGCCAATTCTGCACATGTCCTTGCTGTGCTCCACCTAGTGGGTGGCATTAGCCTTAAACACAGTCTTCAGAAAATGGAGGTAACAAGGTGTAGAGCTGGATGAACACAGCAGGCCAAGCAGCATCAGAGGAGCAGGAAGGCTGACGTTTCAGGTCTGGACCCTTCTTCAGAAAAAAAAATTCTCTTCAGAAAATGGAATTATGGTGGGGGAGGGGTGGGGAGGAGGTGTCCCTTCTCTACAATGTCCTACTTACAAATGCGGTCCCACACAGGGATGTAATTTTAAAGACCCAACCTATGAACATTTCCTGTACTTACAAGCAGCTGTTTTATATTGTCCTACATTGTGTTCAACTTGAATACAAATCAACTTGCAAATGGACTCCAGAATTGCAACTCAGGGATTGCCTGTACATGCATATAGATCCTTTCAACCAGCAAACATCCCAAAGTGCATTACAGTCAGTTATGGTATTTTTGAAATGACCCTTAATTAATCCTGCAAAAATGTTTTGGCCTCAATCATTTTTTGTGGAAGAGTTCTTGAACAATCATCCTTCAGCAGTGAGGGAGATGATTGGTTAATATTCTTGTTAGTTTTGTTTATTGTTGGAATGTGAGCATCACTAGCAAAGCTAGTATTTATTGCCCATCCCAAATCACCCCAGGGGAAAGTAGCTGGTGACCCACTTTCTAAACTGCTGCAATCCAATTGGTTAGATACACCCACAGTGGCGTCCAGGAGGTAATTCCACAATTTTGACCCAGCAGCATGGAAACTGCGTCACTGTTCCAGGTCAGGATGGTGTGTGATTAAAGAGAATTTCCAAGGTAATGAATCTGCTGCCCTTGTCGTTCTGAGTGGTAGTGCTCAGTGTTTAGAAGGTGGTGTTGAAGAATTGTTGTGAGCTACTGCATTCTGTAAACAGTACACACTGCAGCCATTACGCACCAGCAGTAGATTAAGAGAGAGGATTAAAAAAGGCCTCTCAGCCCCTCAAACCTGCCATGCCATGCAATACGATCATGGCGGATCCTCTATCTCAATAGCATATTCCCATTTTCTCCCCATACCCCTTGATGCCTTGAAAATCTAGAATGGTATCTGTCTCTTTCTTGAATATACTCAGTGGTCTCTCCAGCCTTCTGTGATGAGGATTCCACATGTTCACCACCCTTTCAAGCCAGAAACTATTACTCATCTGAGTCCCAAATGGTCTACTCTGTATCCTGAGACTGGGCCCCCAGGGTGTAGACTCCTCAGCCGGGGAAAACATCCTCCCTGCATCTAGTCTGTCCAGCCCTGTTAGAATTTTATACGTTTAATCAGATCCCCTTCCATCCTTCTAAACTCTAGTGAATACAGGCCGAGTTGAATCAAGCTCGCTTCATAGGACAGTCCTGCCATTGCGGGTATTAGCCCAGTCAAGTTCTATTGTACTTCCTCTTGGCAATTCTATCTTTTCACAGGTTGAGAGACTGATACTGCATACATTACCTCAGATGTGAGTTCACCATGGCCCTGTATCACTGCTTTAACATTAAACAGGGTGTGGTGCAATATTGGTGAATAAAACCTTTTTGGCTTTATCAATATGCTCAGTCAATAATTGTGGAATTTCCTTTGGATTTCTTCAGAGACTAGTAGGGCCTGACCTTAATTCTGTTCAAATAGATGTGTTTTCAGCAAATTAAAATCACACCCCATGTTTTCTAAATAGACAGAACTATTGTGTGGCCCAACTGAAAGCTCTAGTTAGGATCTACAATGCTGGTACAAACCAATTGGTCCACTAGACTAATGGGATAAATTGTGATAATCTGAGCATTACTGACCAGAGTTTAGTCCACACCAGAAATAGTACCCAGCATGAATCCATCTACAGAACACTGCAGGTAATGCTGTATTTGAAATGAACAGCATGAAAGGAAGCTGGGTTCCACAAGAGCTGTTTCTCCATTCTGTGCTTTGTCCTAGAAATGTTTAACTCCCATAATGTAAATGTATCCTGTGTAAAGTATTAGAGGATAACGTTTTCTGGTGAATAATCTCCTAACTCTGTTCATTACATCATACCACAAATTTAGGAGCCACCAAAGACATGGGAAAAATGTTGGGTGGTGATGAAGAGAAGGATCCAGATGCTGAGAAAAAGGAAGAAGAAAGATTAGAAGCTATTCGACAAGCAGAGGAAGAACGTGCAGGAAAATACGCAAAAATGGAGGCTGAACGGGAAGTAATGCGACAAGGAATCCGTGATAAGGTGAGAAGTCGGTTTCCTGGTGGAAAAAGTATCAATGACCACTTACATAACTACATGAAACTGTGTTGACTATTTGATTTAGTGACAGAGTAGGTAAATTGCTGATAACTGTTGAATTTATATTCAGGCTAACCCTCAAATTGTGGTTCTTATGGTACAGCAGTAGTGCACCTACCTCTGTTCCAGGAGGACTGGGACCAAGTCCCTTCTGCTCCAGAGATTTGTCATAACACATCTGGATACAATGTCTGTAGAAACACATTAGTAGTGCCTTGATATTGGTTAAGCTGCTGGAGGTGTGATAATCAAGACTCATCTTTTTTACAGTCTCACACTCTAAAAATAGAGATTTTTTTAAAAAGTTACTCATCAATCCCCTGTGATCTATAACAATTCAGAAAATGTGGCACTCTGTAAGTTTATTCACTTTGTTTTGCCTTGCATGTTACTTTCTGTCCTTTCACCTTGTTGTTGATTTACTCAATATATCAACTGTCATGTTGATATTGAATACACAGAAGTGTTTATGTGTGGATGTGCTGCCAATCAAGCGGCTGCTTTGTCCTGGATGGTGTCAAGCTTCTTGAGTGTTGTTGGGGCTACACCCATCCAGGCAAGTGGGGAGTATTCCATCACACTCCTGATTTGTGCCTTGTAGATGATGGACAGGGTTTCGGGAGGACAGTTACTCACTTCAGAATTCCGAGCCTCTGACCTGCTGTTGTAGCCTTTGTATTTATATGGCTAGTCCAGTTCAGTTTCTGGTCAATGATAACTCCCAAAATGTTGATAGTAGGGATACAATGATAATAATGCCATTGAATGCCAAGGGGCAATGGTTAGAATCTGGGATGGTCGTTGACTGGCATTTATGTGGCATGAATGTTACTTGCTATGTGTCAGCCTAATGTTGGATAATGCCCAGGTCTTGTCCCATTTGAACATGGACTGCTTCAGTGTCTGAGGAATTGCAAATGGTGCTGAACATTGTGCAAGCATCAACGAATATTTCCACTTCTGACCTTATGATGGGGGGAAGGTCATTGATGAAGCAGCTGAAGATGGCTGGGCCTAGAACACTACCCTGAGGAACTCCTGCAGAGATGCCCTGGAACTAAGATAACTGACCTCCACTGACCACAACAATCCTTCTTTGTGCCAGGTATGACTCCAACCAGCAGAGAGTTTACCCCCAATCTCCATTCACTCCAGTTTTGATAGGGCTCCTTCATGCCACACTCAGTCAAATGTGGCCTAGATGTCAAGGGCTATCACTCTCACTGGAATTCAGCTCTTTTGTCCATATTTGAACCAAGGCTGTAATGGGGTCAGGAGCTGAGTGGCCCTGGCAGAACCCAAACTGGACATCACTGAGCGGGTTATTGCCGAGCAGGTGCTCGATAGCACTATTGATGACGCTTGCCCTTGCTTTACTGATGATCGAGAGTAGACTCACGGGGCGGTAATTAGCTGTATTGGATTTCTCCTGCTTTTTATGTACAGGACATACCTGGGCAATTTCCCACATTGTTGACTAGATGCCAGTGTTGTAACTATACTGGAAGAGCTTGGCTAGGGGAGCGGCAAGTTCTGGAGCACAAGTCTTCAGTATTACAACTGGAATATTTCTAGTGCCCTTTGAAGTTTACACCACTGTGTAGTTTTCTTGAAAACACATTCCTCGATATCCTTCCCATGCACTGGAGTATTGTATACACCATGTATGTCACACAGTGAGAACTGGGATTACACCTCAAATACCTTACTTCTCGCCAAATCAATTCTGTCCTTGAAACTTCTAAAACATCCTCTTTCTCATTTACCAAAAACTTCAATCCTCCTACTTTATTTCCTTTACTATCTTTTATGAACACTTTGTAACCAGGAATATTTCTTACTCAGATCTGCCCTTCCTTAAGCCTGGTCTCCATTATTGCCACATCATTATAAGCCTAAAAGGCAACTTGTGCTTATAACTGCCTAATCTTATTCATTATTCACTATGCATTCACATATGTACATACAATGTAACTCTGAATTCAAATTTGTTACCTTCTCCCTATTCTCTATATTTATGTTGTCTGCCTGTCTCGGCATTTTGTCACTGTAGGCTTACTTTCTGATGTTCTTTCCTAGTTCTTAAATCCCTGCTGAGTTACTCCCCAACTGCTGAAGCGAAATCCTCTGCAAGGAACTCTGATCCAGTTCTGTTGAGAGGTAACCCATGCAGTGTGTACAGGTGCCATAGAAACACAGAAACTAGAAGCAGGAGTAGGCCATTCAGCCCTTGAGCCTGATCTGCCATTCAATTTGATCATCTATCACAGCACTGTGTTTCTGCTTTCTCTCCATACCCTTTGATCCCTTTAGCCCTAAGAACTAAATGCAAGTCCTTCTAAGTCCAATGTTTTGGCCTCAATCATTTTCTGTGGCAGAGAATTCCATAGGCATATCACTTTCTAATAGCACGGTGGCTCAGTGGTTAGCACTGCTGCCTCACAGCACCAGGGACCTGGCCATGGTAAATTGCACATAGTGTCCGGGAATCCGCAGATTAGTCCTGGGAAATGCGGGGTTACAGGGATAGGGGATTCTGGGTGAGATTCTCTTTGGAGATTTGGTGTGGACCTATTGGGCTGAATGGTTTGTTTCCAGACTGTAGGGATTCTATGAAAGATGTTTTAGAATGGACCACTAATGCTAACGATGCTCATTTCCTATAAGCAAATGTAAAACACACCAACTTATTCCAGCTGTTCTTCTTCCAGCAATATTTTCATAGAATCCCTACAGTGTAGAAGCAGGCCATTCAGCCCATCCAGTCCACACCAGTCTTCCAAAGAGCATCCCACCCATACCCACCCCCTTTCCCTATCCCTGTATCCCTGCATTTCCCATGGCCAATCCACCCAGCCTGCAGAACCCTGAACACTATTGGCAATTTAGCATGGCCAATCCACCCTAACCTGCACATCTTTGGGCTGTGGGAGGAAACCGGAGCACCCAGAGGAAACCCACGCAGACACGGGGAGAATGTGCAAACTCCACACAGTTGCCCGAGGCTAGAATTGACCCCGGGTCCCTGGTGCTGTGAGGCAGCAGTGCTAACCACTGAGCCCCTATGCTGCCCACATTTTCATTTTGAAGATGCTAATTCCTGTTTTCAAATTCATGTATAAACTTGTTAATCCACATCTCTAGGTTTCTACAGATCCACAATCCTCCAGATATCTGCAGTCCTGTAATTCATGCCTTTGTACTATTTGATTATTTTCACCATTGGTGGCCTTCCCTTCAATGTCTGGTCCCCATGCTCTGATTCCCTTCAGTATCCAGTCCCCATGCTCTGATTCCCTTCAGTATCCAGTCCCCATGCTCTGATTCCCTTCAGTATCCAGTCCCCATGCTCTGAAATACCTCCATAAATCTGACTAATTCTCTCACCTCCTTTAAGACACACTTTAAGATTTAGATTTAGATTTAGATTTAGATTTTATTATCACGTGTACTCAAGTACAGAAGTACAGGATTACAGTGCAAATTGTATAATGTCACCACACAAGGCGCCATCTTAGGTACAAAGGTACTGAGGTACAAAGTAGTAAAAGAAAGAAATTCTAAAAAGTTGTGTTACCTTCATAGAATAAGTAGAAAAAATAAAATACAGGTAATACTTAACATTACATTAACATTAAAACTTAACTTAACACCTTCTTACTATAAAGTAGAAAGATAAAGGAGTAAAGCTAAAAGTTCAACAGTCTTTGAGTCCTCTACTTAGCTTGCTGTCTGGGAGACCTCAGCTGCCTGTTCTTGCCACCACCGCCGATAACCGGGGACCTCCCTCACTCTTCCTGCACTGGGCCGTGATGCCATCACTGCTGCTGAAGCTGCCGCCTTTCCGATCTCATCCTGCTGCCTCCAGGACATGCCCAGGCAGGACTCACTTGCACGCTGAGATATCACTATACCGGGCCTAGAGTCCGGACTGAAATACTGCCACGCTAGGCCAAGAGACCACCATGGGCTGCCGAGAGACTGTCACGCCGGCCTGAGAGACTGCACACCAAGCCAAGAGACTGCAATGGGCCATCAAGAGACCAGGCCGAGAGACCGCCACAGCTTCTGAGAGACCAGACCGAGAGACTGCCACGCTGGGCGGGGAGACCAGGCCGAGACACTGCCACGCTGG